AATGAAAAAAAACTCACTGTGTGAGTAATCATTCACAGGGATCAATAGAAAATGGATGTATATCACGCATATTATTCAATACTCATAGAAAAAAATATATTATTTCATTTATTTCAACAAAAACCCAATGTGATCAGCTATAATTCTTAATTAATACATATAAAACAAATTAATTTCATATTTCTTAAGTTGAATAAATTCAAAAATGTAACAACTTTAATTCCTACACAACCACTTCATCACATTACATAAACCTACCTTTAGTTGTCCCACTAATTTCTAAATTATTCAGATATCACTAAAAGATTTCTACTCAGAGGGGAGTTCAAACCAAATTCTATTCTGTGAAAATCTACATGAAATTGATATTTGTCTCTTACTCGATGGTTTTACTTGTTTTATAGAAACATGAAGCTTGATTTGCTCTAGTGATTGAGGACAATCTATGTGATACTTGAGAAGATCATAAACAAAAGCGCAATTCAATATTTAATCCACAAAACTCAAGGGAGTTAACTTTAAGATTCTTTCTTATGCCCTCATAATTGTGATTGATCACACGAAACCCAGTCTGATATGCACAGAACCACAAAAATTTGTTCTGAACTCTCTCAACCGAAATATTTTGAGTGTTATGATAGGGTGACCCTACAATGCAACCATATTCCAATGTAGATCTTTCTAAACATGTTTGTTTAAATACATTAAGCAGGGACCTTATTCTCGAAACAGGGGATCAGCGTTCTCATGAGAACGAAGATTCTGTCTTGGTTGCTCATATTCATATTTTCATAGCACTGACACAGACAGAGCAATCTTTCTCATGAGGAAGCTGTTCCCCAGTTTCGAGAATAGAGGTCCTGGAGTGATTGAGAAATTCTTACAATTCAAGCAAAACTCAACAGCTTAGAGGACTGCACAATTACATTCTTAATAATTGTTCAACAAATTTTAGTCCCTTGTCAAAAGTCACATCAAGGTCTTTCATTTTAGGATTAGGTGTATATCTAATTTCTTTATTCTTAACATAATAATGAGAATTTTTTTTTTTTTTGAATCTAAAAAAACTTATTGTATATACCACTTGTCAACATTAACTTCAGCTTATTTATCTCATACCTACCATGTAACTAAGCGACTCAACTCAAGTCTTTCTGTAATAATGCAGTATCAGAAACATCATTAATTATTCTAAAAAATTTGGAATATTTTGCAAAAGCAAATGGTATATGCTGAAAGTTCTGTGTGATATCGTTGGTAAATATTGAAAAGCAGTGGTGCACAGTGGCCGCCTTGCGGTACACCAGATTAGATGTTGCTATAATATGTTCAGACAAAAAACTGCCAATCTTAAAAGCTTTAGTACTCCACCAGTAAAGGAGCTAGAAAACCACTGAATTATGCTTGAATAGAACCCATATATTCATGAAATTTCTCAAAAAGCAAATCATGATCATCACTGTCAAAGGCTTTGGAAAAATCTGTATGGATAGCATCGACCTACTCTATCGATTAGAAAAGTAAAAAATGGAAAGCATTTTAAGTAATTTTGGTTTTTCTTTGAATTTTTTCTTCAACGTTTCCAAACCATAATATCTCAGTTGTATTCACCCACTAAGGTGAAATTTCCAAAGTTCTTATGATAAGCTGCAACTATAATATCGATTAACAAAACAATGATTACAGCTAAACTGGATGTTCCATAACTCGAGAACTGATGTGCGTTACCGATACCCGATATACCAAATTTTGATCAGCTTATAGAGAAGTTATTATATAGAGATAGTCCAGGAATGTGTTAGAAGAATATTCCTACTATTTTATCTGCTTTGATGACAAAAGCTTTCTTTGGAATATCCTAGGAATTGGACTGTTACTAGATTTTTACAAGATCTTCCTGGAATGTCCAGAATTTTGCCCACTATATAGGTATATTAATCGAATATTCCTTGTATTTATGTCTTTGCATTATTAGGAGTTTATTCTCTATTACTCAACTAATAATCTCGATTTTTAATAACACTTCAACAAAGGTATCCATATTTGTATACAAAATTCTTTTAAGACTCATGTTATCCATATCGAGAGTTACCTACATTCTGGCTCACCAAGCCGAGCATTATTATCCTTTTCAATCTCCGAGTAATGGTATATATCTGTTAAACGACCTTCGAATTTACATGTCCCTACGTAGCCCCAATAAATCTGACGGTGTTAGATCAGGGGTCCTCGCCGGCCAAAGAATATTTACAGTAACTTTCTTACCTAAAATTATTATAAAAATGTTTTCCATATAATTAAGAAGAAAAGAAGGTGAAAGAACCAAGTTAACTAAATGCAAATAGCTGGTAAAATAAATTCATTCTGTACCTACCTACCTGAAAGAGAAACAATTTTCTACTCAACCCTAAAGTTACGTGATTGTAAAATGGCATAAATATTCTTTATTTCATCTTCATTTTATTGGGTAAATTAGAGAAAAACAAAGATACCTAATTAGGCATATAAGCATAGTACCATAGTCCAGACTCTGATCACAGCTTCTCTGATAGTACCTATCTACTTTACCTTATTGTCTAGTTTAAGGCGAATGCGCAAGGAACAGTTGAATTTATATCTAAGTAAACGATGAAGACCGTTGAACGAGTTGAACGAGTCTAAACAAAAATGGCTTTTTTCATATCGCTTTTGTTGCGTGATAAAAAATCAAAATATCGAGAATACAATTCATATCAAATGCAAAAAATCGAAAACTCAGAATATCGAGTGCAAAATATCGAAAGCCTGCTAGTTATCGAAATATTTTCTAATCAAATTACAAGTCATTACTCAAAGTTAAATTGTATCTAAATAGCTAGCTAGTCCTGAGAAAACTTACAATTGCTCAGATCGGAAAACCCCAATTTTGCGTTTTCGGAATTCGGCTTTTGCCTATCAATCGTTAGATAACTTAATGTACTTTTCTTTAAACTTTGAAGATGCCAAGAAACTTTATAAACCTAGGAAACGAGAAAACACTGATCAAGAAGTCCTTGTATTAATGATTCCCAGCTCTAAGTGATCTCAGTCACCCCCCCCTAAAATACAGACGGGGTTTTACCTGGCAGTTTAAGAGAAGGTAAATAAACCTACTCTTAATTACAAAATAATGAAAATATATTATTTCAACAAGAACCCAATGCGAACAGCTATAATTATTAATACATATATTTATACATATTCATATTTCTATAGGTAAAGAAACTCAAAAATGCAATAATTCAACTCATGCACAACAACTTCATCACATAACTGAATAAACCTACTTTTAGTTATCCCAGTAATATTCAAAATTATTCTGATTTATCACTGAAAGACTTCTACTCAGAGGGGAGTTCAAACCCTATTCTGTTCTGTGAAATTCTTATTTGTGTCTTACTTGTCTACCGGAACATGAAACTGGTATTTCAAGGCAATCTATATGATAATTGAGAAGATCATAAGCAAAGCGCAATTCAATCTTTCATCTATTTCAAGGTTCTTTCTTCTGTTCCTCATAATTGTGATTGATCCCACAAAGCCCAGTCTGATATGCACAGAACCGCACAAATTTGTTTTGAACTTTCTCAATCGAGATCTCCCGATGATAGGTTGATTATACAATGCAACCATATTCCAATGTAGATCTTTCTAAACTTGTGTAAGTACATTAAGCAGAAGTGATTGAGAAATTCTTACAATTCCTTAAAACAAAACCCAACAGCTTAAAGGACTGTACCTACAATTACATTCCTAATATGTTCAACAAATTTTAATCCCTCATCAAAAGTCACACCAAGATCTTTTATTTTAGGTGTATATTGGAATGTCTTTACTTTTAACATAATAGTGAGAATTTATCTTTTTATTTAATTAAAAACTTATTGTATAACGCACTTGTTAACATTTAAGATCAGCTAATTCACCCCACACCATGTGACTAATCGATTCAAATCTTCCTGTAATGATACAGTATCAAGAACATCTTTTATTTTTCTAAAAAATTTGAAATCTTTTGCAAAAGCAAATGTGTGATATCGTTGGTTAATATTTTAAAAAGCAATGGTGAACAGTGGCCGCCTTGTGGTTCACCAGATGTTGCTAAAATATTTTCAGACAAAAAACTGCCAATCTTAACTTTTTAACTGTACCAGTAAAGGAACTAGAAAACCACTGAATTATGCTTGGATGGAACCCAATTTCTCAAAAAGCAAACCATAATCACAGTGTCGATTATGGCTTTGAAAAAATCTGTATGATATGATAATTATTCAAACCATGATTCAAACAAAAGTGAGTTGATAATTTCGATTTCTAGTAATGCTTCAACATAGTCATCCATATTTGTATACAAAATTCTTGTAAGACTTTTACTCTCCATACATTATCCATATGGGAAAATTATGGATCACCTACGCTGAGCAATTATTATTACTTATCCTCTTAAGTCACCGAATGGGTCATATCTAAGTAGTCCTTTGAAATCTGACGGTGTTAGATCTGGGGCCTTGCCGGCCACAATATTTTATTAACTTTCTTACTTAAAATTATTATAAAACGTTTTTCATAATGTAAACTTTGCCATAATTCAGAAGAAAAGAAGGTGAAACACCCAATATAATTGAATACAAATAGGTGTATGTAGCTGGTAAAATAAATTCATTCTATACCTACCTACCTGAAATACCCAAAAAGATTCACACCCAAATATATAAAAATATTCAATTAATCTCATCCAAAAATTGACCGCACAAATTTAAAATAAAGAAGCCAAAAGAGAAACAATTTTCTACCCAAAAAAAAAAAAACATTTTTATCGAAATCTTCCGAAGAATCTTAATTAAAGCATTATCCGAGTCCGTCCTTCTAAAATAAAATACCACCGAAATCCAATACGAGTTCTCCGTCTGGTGGCGCCCCCGTTTCGAGAGACGGCGAGCTTTTCAACTACGAAAAGCGCTTGCGTCCGCTTCAAGTTGGGTCGTGTTTATACTGCAGTGTCGCTCCAAGAGCTTTCAGTGTAGTTCGAAGCTTTGTATGAGTCGGACCCGTATCGGTCTTTAAACGAAAATTTCTCCGACTCACGATAAAATATAATATGCCCGTGTCGCGCAAGAAGTACATAAAAGTAGTTCTACTCTAAGTATGCTCGGTTGTGAATTTATTTTGGATGCCTTTTTTCAAACAGTGATTTAGTGCTCCTGTTGAAGGATTATGACAAAAAAGTGACTAAAAAACGTTTTTTTTTTTTCGTCGAAATGTTGTTCCTGATTTTCGGTGTTTTAGTTTTCGGGTTGTGCGGAGCGACAAGGTTCGATGCCAGCGAGCAATGCAGCTGGTTACCGGACAATCACGAAGGTAGCTCCAAACTGGCTGTGACATGTAACTTAAGGCTTCTGGATGAACGCGGTGGCAACTTAACAAATATCCCGCAAGAACTGACTTCAAAACTAAAAATCGTTTGCTCCAATGCCATTTTTTACGAAAGTGTTTTGCCATCAACCCTTCACAGACTTCACGAATTGGAAGACTTAAGAATAACAAACTGCAAATTACTCTCAATCGAAGACAATTCCTTTGAGGGATTATACAATGTTAAGAAGTTGTTCGTGAATAGTTACAACGCTGACTGGGGGCAAACGAAAAGTCTGGAGCTGACAAGTTTCAGTTTTCAAGGGTTGAAGGAACTTCAAGTTTTGGACTTAGCCCAGAACGGTATTCGTGCGGTGCCGGAAGGCGCCTTTTGCACTTTGGCCAATTTGCAAACTTTGAATTTGACCCGCAACAAAATTCGCAGTTCAGAAAGAATTGGGATTAGTGCCGCAGAATGTAGTTCGAGCGAACTACAAAACTTGGATTTAAGTTTTAATGACCTGACAGTTTTAGGAGAAGATAGTGGATTTTCGAAATTACGCAGATTACAAAATTTGAATTTGCAATTTAATAATATAACTGAAGTTTCTGGTGAAAGTTTGGCAGGACTAGTTAGCTTGAAAGTCTTGGATTTCTCCAACAATAAAATTGGATCACTCCCACAAGGATTATTTGCTGGATCTCCTGAACTGAAAGAAATCCATTTACAAAATAATTCTCTATATTCCTTGGCAAAGGGATTATTTCATCGTCTTGAACAACTTTTGGTATTGGATTTGAGTGGTAATCAGCTTACAAGTAACCACATAGACAATGGAACTTTTTCAGGACTTATTCGCTTGATTGTGTTAAACCTGTCGCACAACGCCTTAACGCGAATAGACTCCAGAACTTTCAAAGACTTATTTTTCCTGCAAATATTGGATTTAAAAAACAACTCAATTGGATTTATTGAAGATAATGCCTTTTTGCCCTTATACAACTTGCATACTTTAAACCTGGCTGAAAACCGTTTAAATACCATTGGCCCCCAACTATTCAATGGGCTTTTTGTTTTGAGCAAATTGACTTTGAATAACAATCTGGTAGTGACTATTGATGCTCGTGCTTTTCAAAACTGTTCCGCTCTAAAAGAACTTGATCTCAGCTCAAATGCACTAGCAGATGTTCCAGAAGCCATTCAAGAACTTTCGTTCCTAAAAACGTTGGATTTAGGCGAAAATCAGATAAGTGAATTTCGTAACGGATCGTTCAAGAACTTAAATCAGCTGACTGGATTAAGAATGATCGATAATACTATCGGCAACTTAACTCGAGGTATGTTGTGGGACTTACCTAGTTTGCAAGTGCTTAATTTGGCCAAAAATAAAATCCAGAGCATCGAACGCGGAACTTTCGAGCGAAATACTCAAGTTGAAGCCATAAGATTAGATGAAAATTTTCTGACAGATATTAATGGAGTTTTTGCTACTTTGGCAAGTCTTTTGTGGCTCAATTTGTCAGAAAATCATTTGGTCTGGTTTGATTATGCTTTTATACCGAGCAACTTGAAATGGCTGGATATTCATGGAAATTTCATAGAGCATTTAGGAAATTATTACAAAATCCAAGACGAAATAGGCGTGAAAACTTTAGATGCTAGCCATAATAGAATTACAGAAATTTCGTCAATGTCAATACCCAACAGTGTAGAATTATTATTTATTAATAATAATTTTATAAAGAAAGTTCACCCAAATACTTTCTTAGATAAAGCAAATTTAGCTAGAGTAGACATGTATGCTAATGACTTAGTTAATTTGGACTTAAATGCTTTAAGAGTTGCTCCAGTGCCCAGCAATCGCTCTCTTCCAGAAGTCTACCTAGGTGGAAACCCTTTCCATTGCGACTGCACTATGGAATGGCTACAAATCATCAACAGTATGGCTGGCTCAAGACAATACCCGAAAGTTATGGATTCAGACAATGTTATGTGTAAAATGACTCATTCTAGAGGTATGACTCATATGCCATTAAGCCAAGCTAAAGCTAGTGATTTTCTATGTACCTATGAAACTCATTGCTTCACTTTATGTCATTGTTGTGATTTCGATGCATGTGACTGTGAAATGACTTGCCCCAATAATTGCAGCTGTTATCATGATCAACTTTGGAATACCAACGTTGTTGATTGTTCTGGACAAGGTGCAGCAGAAATTCCACAAAAAATCCCCATGGATGCCACTGAAGTTTATTTGGATGGCAATTATATAAAAGAGCTACAAGAACACGCATTTATTGCAAGAAAAAACTTGAAAACTCTTTATGTAAATAATAGTAATGTAGAGTCTATTCAAAATAGTACTTTCAACAGCCTACATGCTTTGCAAGTATTGCATTTAGAAGATAATAAACTTAAATCATTGAGAGGCTATGAATTTGAACATCTTGGCAACTTAAAAGAGCTTTATTTGCAAAATAACATTATTGGAAAAATTGCCAATAAAACTTTTGAACCATTAACTTCCTTGACAATTCTTCGACTTGATGGAAATAAATTGACAACATTTGCAGTATGGCAACTTTCAGCAAACCCCAAACTTAATCAAATCACGATGGCGAACAACCCATGGTCGTGTCGCTGCAAGTTCCTGCAAGGATTAACCAGTTGGGTGGCAGAAAACGCAGTAAAAGTTTTAGACAGTTCGAATTTAATGTGCTCTATTCCTGATACAAAACCGACCCAAAATCGCGAATTGGACTTTAATTCGACCGCGTGCAGTGACTATTACGCCGGTAGTTCAGTAATTGACTCTATGCTCGTCAGTGACTATTGGCCCATGGTCGTCGTGACTCTTTGTATAGTAATCATTATGTTGCTATTAGCGGTTCTATGGTTCGTTTTCCGAGATCCGGTACGTGTGTGGCTCTACTCGCGCTATGGAGTACGTTTGTGCAACTTCAGAGACTCTAGTTCCAAACAGTTCGACGACAGTGACAAACTTTATGACGCTTTTGTGTGCTACAGTCCCAAAGATGAAGAATGGGTGGTCCAAAGTCTTGCTGGTCAGCTAGAGCCCAGCTACCAAATGTGTTTGCACTATAGGGATTTGCCAAATACTGCATATATTCAGCACGCAGCTCCTGCAGTTTTAGAGGCCTCTGAGGCTAGTAGGCGAGTGATTATGGTTTTGACAAGGAATTTTTTGGAGACAGAATGGGCCAGATTTGATTTGAGACAAGCCTTCCATGAAGCTCTAAAAGGCAGAATTTATAAGCTTGTGATTATTGAAGAAGGTAATCTTCATGAAGCTATCATGGATCCTGAGTTGAGGCTTTATCTCAAAACTGCAGAAAGAGTGCGATGGGGTGAAAAAAGGTTTTGGGAAAGGTTAAGATACGCCCTTCCCTCAATTGAAGCCAGAGGCAAAATTAACGCCAATTATAGGCGAAATATAAATAATTATACCATCGACTCCAGGGTGGTGCCCAATGGTACTCACCACTCGCACCATCACCATTTTCCTGAAAAAATCAGGACGCAAGGGCCCCCTTCTCCAGGCATGCAAATGATTCCTCCTCCAGCTTACTCAGCAGGAGTACCGCAGGAATCGGAAGATGCCAACTATTCATCTGCCACTACAGCTACACCTTCTCCAAGGCCTTCGAGACGAATGACCCAAGAGCCGAGGCCAATTTCCGATCATATATATTCCAGTATTGATTCGGACTATAGTACCCTTGAAAGAGGGCCTTCTGGTAGACGAGGGGTACCACAACAATGGAGACCTCCTCACGTAGTCCTGCAGTCTTCTGGGCTTCATCATAATGGTGGACAGGCCTATCTTGTGTGATAACTTTTCCTGACTGATTAGGTATATATGTATTTTTTAAAAGACTTAAAAAATTCTTTTTTGTGGCATATTAAAAGTTTTTTTCTCTCATTTTAAAATATTTTCTGTCCTTTAAAAAAAGATTAATTGATATTAATAAATGAGCTTCTTAAATGCAAATTAACAGAATTTTTAATGAAAGTGATTTAATCTGTATAGTTCTGTTATGTTTGCTTATTATGTGCTTTAGTCTATATTCTAAAATGTTATAACTATTTAATCTTGTAAGCATATAAATTATTGTTAATAATGCGGTTAATTTATGTTTAAGTCTGCCAATGAATCAATTATTATATTTTTTTACATATTCAAAAAAGTACATTTAAATGTGCTATTATTGAAATATTGAATAAATACACATATTTAATTGAATATTCACACCTAAATATTTTTGATTTTCCTATATGATTAGAGTAGGTACTTTAGTTTTCTATGTTTTTTTTTTAATCCAAAAATCACAAATTTCTAGAGTTGTGAATGTTGACTTTCTCTTAACTAATTGTATAGGTAAATCATCAATAATATATTTTTTTCCCTTACTAAACAAATTTTAGTATAATTACCAAATTAAATAAATATTTTTGTGATAGACTTATAGAGCATACCATGACCTAATACTGGATATTATTTGGGTTACAATTTTTGTTCATTATACTAAAATTTGCTCTTTTTTTTATAACATGTATAAAATTGTATATATTTTTCTACTATAAACTGAAAATCAAAGGTAATATGTCACAAAAAAAACATTGTGTATAAAATACTAAAAGATAGTTACTAATAAGTACGAATGAAAAAAAAAAAAAACGTGTAATTATTTTCCTCTTGTATTATTTTTGTACAGTCCTTGTATATAGATAATATTTATTTGTTTTACCATTTTATTGGTTTGTACTATGTGTATATTTTTTACGAATTGCAAAAAAAATCGAATTATATAATAAATATGATGTGAAATTTATTTTTGGTTGTTTTCTTTTTGTTCCAGTTTTCTTTAGATGGAATTTTTATTATTTCAGACTTAGGTACCTACTTTGACAATGAATAAATTTCAAAAGTGTAGGACTTTTTTCAGGTAACAGTGTCTACCATGCATTCAAAATCTAATTAGGTAAGGCCAAACCCTTTGATCGACTAAATTTTATTAATTGGTTGTTGGACCAGGGTTGAAAATAAAAGTCACTTTTTAAATAGTATTATTTTCAGCTGCGATTCCACACCTAAGAAATAATCTGTAGCAAAACCAAAAAAATAACTTTTAGGAATCTTGGAAAATTTTTGGTTTTAGGCACAACTTTTCATAATTCAATTACAGAATAGACAACAATTTATTCATGTAACTATGTATAAAAAAATCAAATATTTTCCATGTTTTCCATAAAAATAGAACCATTTCATTTCAGTTCCTGCATCGATTTATCTATTTATTTATCTTTATTAATATCTTCCTACCTTTCATATTTATAATAAATAGTTTACATCCATGCGAGCCTATTCAAAGATAAAGTGTATTGATAAGCTAATAAGTTAATTCCAATAATAAATTATAATTGATTTCCTTTGTTTAACGACATTACTAAAGATTTTCTTTGAAGAGCATTCTGATGATATAAAAACAAAAATTTAATGCAGTATTTAAGTATAAATTTTTGAAAAAATAGGTGTTCATCCCACTGTGACGATGATAAATGGCCCTAATGAACGCCTAATATCAAAGACGTTTGACTTAGTAGGTAGTTATATTGTTGGAATACAATTTTGTAATGTCAGTAAGTGTACACTAGTAGGTAATATTTCTTTAGAAAAAGGTTAATTATAAGCAAAAGTAGTAGGTGGCAGTAAATAGCCTTAATACAGGAAATATCTTGAGCAAATAGGCCAGAAAGTAGGCCAACATTATTCTGATCAATATTTACTTTCCAAAATTGCTCATTGGTTAATTATTATAATGAGGATTTATTAAAAAATACTAACAATGTTTGCTGTCTTTTGAAAGTACCTACCTACCTATCTAAAAATAATATGTATAACCAAATTTGCCGAAATATAGTGTTATATAGGTACTTTAAGTAGATAAAAGTATAGAAATTTTGGCTGATAAAAGATAATATTGGTAATTGAAAAATTATTTCATATGCCATAATGTCTAGTACATCTGTCAGAGTCAGAGAGTGGATATAATGGAAGAAAGATCTTGTAATTACCTTGCATTTTATCTACGAGTTGAAATACGCTTCTTTTTCTAATGCGTTCTGTCCCTTGCAGAATGAAGATAATTGAGTGCAGAACCAAAGTATTAACGGATGTTCTAGCGTGCCTCATCAATTTTCTTTTTCTAGCGTTAACACTATCTTCGCCTTTCTTCTTTGTTACATTCATTTCTGCTTCTTGAAGGTGTCGCTTTGATCTATCATTGATGTTACTTCTGATTCTTCTTCCATGCGTTCTTTCTTGGTCTTTATCGGAGTCGAGCCAATTTCTGTTTGGTATTTTCATGAAGAAACTGAAACTCCGAGTAGCGCTGCAGCCGGAGGCTTATTATGCTGAATCTTCCTGTTTACTGCACCCATTCCAAAACCCTGGTTCCCTGCAGTAGGCGAAATAGGTTGGATGTTTGCCGTATGTGTCTGGATCTAGTTTATCTTCTCCAAATATATTTTGCCTTCTACGAGTTGGTGCATCGCATTCTGTTATAAGTTATGACCTTTCAAAGTTTTCCAAAATCTAAATCATAAGGTAGCTAGCTCCTTCTTACTAAAACGATGAAATTTCAATTTTTATTTTGTTGAGATTTTGTGTCCCAATGGTCTTTTGGGATTTCCCAAACTTCATACACTAAATTGTTTTGAGATTTCGAGCCGGATTCTATGAAAAAAGTCACTCAGAAAAATTGAAAAATTGATAAATCACCCCAAATTGCTTAACACGATTTTATTTCTGTAACTGTAAGTCCAAATGAGCTGAAATTTTCAGGGATTGTAATCCTCTACTGGAATAAGAATCGCTGAGAACTTCAGGTTTTTATCTTTAATAGAAAAAAAGTTGTGCCCTTCCAAAGTTTTCCAAAATCTAAATCATAAGGTGAGCTACCTTATAGTAAGTAGGTACTAAAACGATGAAATTTAAATTTTTTTGTTGTTGAGATTTTGTGTCCTAATGGTCTTTTGGGATCCCCCAAACTTCATACACTAAATAATTCTGAGATTTGGAGCCAGATTCTATGAAAAAAGGCACTCAGAAAAATTGAAAAATTGATAAATCACCCCATATTGCTTAACACGATTTTATTCCTGGGAACTATAAGTCCAAATAAGCTGCAATTTTCAGGGATCCCCTACTAGGATAAAAATAGCAAAAAATTTCAGCTTTCTATATTTAATAGAAAAAAGTTATGACCTTCCAAAGTTTTCCAAAATTTAAATCATAAGGTAGGTAGCTCCTTCTTAATTAAACGATGAAACTTAAAAAAAAAATGTTAAAACTTTGCGTCCTAATAGTCCTTTGGGATCCCCCAAACTCCATACACTAAATTATTCTGAGATTTGGAGCCGGATTTTATAAAAAAAGGCACTCAGAATAATTGAAAAATTGATAACTCACCCCAAATTGCTTAACACGATTTTATTCCTGGAACTATAAGTCCAACTGAGCTGAAATTTTCAGGGATTGTAGTCCTCTACTGGGATAAGAATCGCTGAAAATTTCAGCTTTCTATTTTCAATAGAAAAAAAGTTATGACCTTGCAAATTTTTCCAAAACCTAAAACGATGAAATTTCAAATTTTTTTTTGTTGAAATTTTGTTTCCTAATGGTCCTTTGGGATCCCTTAAGCTTCATACACTGAATTGTTTTGAGATTTAGAGCCAGATTCTATGAAAAAAGACACTCAGAAAAATTGAAAAATTGATAAATTACCCCAAATGGCTTAACACGATTTTATTCGTGGAACTATAAGTCCAAATGAGCTGAAATTTCCAGGGATTGTCTCTGTCCCTCTAGTGGGATAAGATTGATAAGAATCACTTAAAATTTCAGTTTTCTATCTTTAATAGAAAAAAAGTTATGACCTTCCAAAGTTTTCCAAAAACTAAATCATAAGGTAGCTACCTTAGTACTAAACCGATGAATCGATAAATTTTCAAATTTTTTTATGTTATGATTTTGTGTCCTAATGGTCCTTTGGGATCCCCCTTGTCTATTACTTCGTCATTGCTAGTTGAGGTCGGTGCTTGAGACCTGGATGAGCTTTAGGGAAATGTTCTTATCGATGTTCAAGTTGATGTATCCAACCCTATTGGAACCCTATGCCTTTGTATGTTTTGTTCCCTAAGTTCAGATTAATCCCTTGTGATTTCCTCATTTCCTTTGGAATAAGTACCCATTTTGAATACGCGCTCCCGCTTTATCACGCTATATCTCAAAAACGGTTGGTCGTACAAAAAAAATGTATATAAGCAATTTTGTAGAGAATACTATTTTACGTAAGTTTTGTAATGGGTTTTTCGACGTCAGATGCACAGGATGCGAGATTTTCATGACCTTTGAACTTCGATATCTCAAGACACTCAAGGGTAGGCATATGAGATTTTTTGTGCTTCATTAGAACATCAAAACGAAGTTCTCTGCAAAAATTCAGCTTATTCGGCCTCATTCCGCAGAGAAAGTCTAATTTCCCTGGGGTACTAGAGATGGCTTCAGACCCACCCAACCGAGGTACAGCTGACATGATTTTCAGTGCTAGACAAATGCAAGAGAAATCCAGAGAACAGAATCGCCCTTTATACATGATATTCATAGATTAAGTGAAAGCATTTTATTCGGTCAACAGAGACATATTGGCAAAGGTTGAGTGCCAAATCCGCCTGTTGCATGGTAATAAGTATGAATGTAAGCGTCCTAAGCAAAATTCCAAATATATCAATATTTCATCGAAAATCAAATTTGCCAACTATCAATTGCTTTTTACCAACTTATTTATTTCCGATTTCAGTAAAAACTGTCTTTAAAATGTATCAGCACCATTTCCAGCCGCTGTTCGCGACATCAATCACCTTAATACCGTCATATTTTATTCAACCCCATAAATACGCCCTGTCAACCTTCTATTATCCAAGGCAAAGGTAATATGATAATCAAATGAGTCTCCGAACAAAGAGCCCAATAAAACTTTTTGCCTTATTTTATGTATATCATCCAGTTAGCCTGGGCGTTATGTGTTAAAACCACGCGACAACCATAATACTGTTGTGTGTGTGCGATACTTATCAAGTTGTCAACAGTGAAATTTATTAAATGTTTATTTTTGCTAACTGCTTTATAAAAATAACAAAAAACACATAAAGAAGGTGTGCTTTATGAAAATTGTCGCTGTGAGCTTGAGCTGCTCGTGTCGAGAGTCATTAGGTCAGTTATTTTTTTGTTTGTTTTAAATGTTTTTGGTGCTAGCCATTATTTGTTTCAGTGTGATTTAGGTGCTTTCCAAAAGAAATTCCATACTGAAAAATAAGCTATCAGTATGCATTTCTCGGAAACCAAAAACTCCTAACCCACTTTCAGCCAACTCTGCATTGGAAGCATTCAGGCAGTCATAAAAACTTTCTTTTTAAATTACTTTACTGCTTCTAGTAAGAACCGGTAGCCACAAACGACAGCTTCACGGTTTGTTAGGGGTCCTTTTGTGCCTAATGGCCAAATATGTCACAGTCCAATTGACCGATCGACTAGGTTTGTAGGTAAAGTTGGGATTCGATTTGCCCTAAATATTTTCTATAGTCTTTTTGGAATGAACACACTTTTGCAGTTCTAGGTCATTTAAAATTCTTAGAAAGCACGAACATTATTGTTAAGGGTTGCTAGTTTTGATGAATCCTGATAAACTTCACTGATTTGAATACAGAAAAGTCAGATTCTCCTGGAGCGGGACTCTGTGTCATGTAGAATTCTATCAGTCGACAAGATTCT